GCTTTCAATTTGTATTCAGCGTTGAATTGATATTGGGATCTCTATGGTAAAATATGTTCTTTCTTATGCTTAAAGTTGACATTTGCCGGATATAGGCGGTTGTGTAAGCATAGCTGTAACAGAAGGTTTCTATTTTCTGTCTGATGTGCTGCGAAATCAATAGATCAACGAAGATGTTCCTCATTTTCCATTCGTCTGCCAACTTTACTTTAAAGTCGTCAACCATTATTACATAATCCAAGTCCTTAGCTTTTTGAAGGTTGTGACCTTTCCGTAAAATTCATCTTTGAAATCATCTGAGCTACAAGCAGTCGGAGCGTAGGCAGAGGTGACGAAGGTGTGACTCGGCATGAACCTTTCTTTCTGAGTCTATGCTCTACCGTTTAGTCGGACAGCACGTAATCGACTATCTACTGGAATTCATTTGCTCTAGAACTTTTTGTTATGTCTAGACCAGCGAGACCACGGGACGCAGAAGTAAAGCCTCCAGATACGCGATGCGTACGTTGTAGCGGTTCTTTATCCTGAAGTGGTGCGGATGAATAAAGGATTCTGCTCAGACCCAGCATGCGCGTTTCGGAGACGGCCCGAGGTTATACAGTCGATGCTAAAGGAGCCTGTGGTTATATATGGTACAAAGTACGAACATTAAAAGCTCCAACATGCAGTTTAGAGCGAGGTTCCACATCGGGAATAACCCTTTTGAACTACAATCGTTCGTATCATTAGCACGAGAGCGTAAAAGAATGTGTAAGAAAAGGTGTGTAGCCTCGTTGACTTCCCTCCATTTACTGGACTTCAGATTGAGATATTAGATCACTTCCGAATATATAAAAGTTGTCTCCATTCACTGGTTGACAATTTGAGTACAATTTCAGACAAACGGAATCATCCCAAATCAGAACCATTGTGCGGTGGGTGAATTTAAAAAGGAGGAACCGTAAAACCTCAACCCATAAACGGCTACCACCAAGGGGCAGGGGTGACAGATTAAAACCACCAATTTTATTTAACGTCCCAGTATCCGAAAAGAGTAGAGCCGCCTTTGATTAAGAGCAATGGGATAAATAATGCGCAATCGTTGCAATGTGCCATATTCCGGCAAAAATGTGCCATATTTTTAAAGGCGACAATATCTCGAAAAGGAAACCCCCTCCAATGAGGATGATACTAGACTCGGCACAACTTGCTGAAGATATCTTCATCTCAGAGACAATCGGTGAAATTATCCCCTCCGATCCGTATCAGGCACGATAAACCGTGGTCGGCACGAGCTGCAGCCAGGACAACACCAGACGCCAAAGAGCAGACCACCATGGTAGTTCACGGCGGGCCCGAACTGGCTAACGGTAGCTTTGATGAAGCTCACGTACATACTGTGCAAGAGTGGCGGTGTCTACCACGTACACTGTGCTTTCAAACCACGATGGCCTTTAGCGTTTCTAGGCTGCCTTGCCCGTTAAGTCGCCACGTCTGATGGTTCTGACATCCAGGAATCTGGAAGGCCTGACTGAGGCACTCCAAGCTTGGTACAGTTCGAAGAACGACCTGGCTAACCACATTATGCGTTGCGAAGGACGACCTAGATCTGTGAGACAACAGCAAGGAGGCCATGATAAACGCGCAAAATTGACCGTTGACCTCGATCAACAACCCATGGCACAAGACACGAAGATAATATTCTTGCCGACTGAACGCACTGCACAGACGGAAAACCAGCTGAGGCCAGTTCTGTAAGAACTGGCCAACTCGGTTTGAACAACTTGTCTGAAAAAACCCGACAACGGCTGTTGCTGCTGAGGTGCACCAGGTGATGAGACAAACCACCAGGTGCCTCCGTAGGGACGTAAGAGGACTAAGATATCAACTGTTATAAATCAGAAATATATGCTCTCGGATCTGATGATCATAATCCTGACTGAAACGTAGCCATCCCCTGGCATTGCAGACGGCGAAGTGAGCTTGCAAGGCATGACACTCTTCCGAAGCGATAAGGTAAACCAAGCAGCGGGCGAAGTGGCTATTGATACAAACAGACACAGCCGAGCGGATATATGACACCCAATCAGCTGAGGTGACAGAATCATGTTGGTGTTGTTTTCACATAAACGGTATGAAATACTTGATTGGAGAGATTTACCGACCTTCCTCAGGTACTAAAGCTCAGACAGACAAACTGACTGAGGCAATACTGCACCTGCCACTCGTGTGGTTTGATCAAATACTCTTGGCTGGAAATTTCAATACCCCATCTTTAAATCTCAGCAGTCCGGGTACAGCTCCCACTGGTTGGTTCCAAAGACGACTTGGCACAGTCATTAGAGGCTGTGTACTTCCTGAGCACGTATGCAGTGCCACTAGATGGACTAAGGAAGGAAAGTCCTAATTTGTTGACAAATGATCAGCTCCTGGTTGGGGATGTTCAAGTCCATATACCAATAGGAAG